ACCGTGAAGAGCTGGTTAGTGATGTCCCACCCGTGTGATTTGATTCCGGCAGGGAAAGGATCAGCCGCGGTGGCTCACCCCTGTAACCTCGGCACTTTGGGAGCCTGAGGTGGGTGGACAGTCTGAGGTCGGGTGTTCCAGACCAGCCTGGGCAACATGGCGAAACCCCACATCTAATCGCTACTAAAAATACAAGTTAGCCGGGCGTGCTGGCGGGTACCTGTAATTCTAGCTGCTTGGGCAGCTGAGGCCGAACAGTCGCTCGAACCTGGGAGGGGGAGGTTGAAGGGAGCCGAGATTGCACCACTGCCCTCCAGCCTGGCTGACCAAAAAAAATTTTAAAAAAAGGCAGGAAATTCAGGGGTGTGATCCGGGCAAGGCAGGCAGAGTCAGCATGAAGCGGAGTCTCCGTCTGCCAGGGGGGAGTCAGGTCTTCGCTGGCAATTCCCCGATTCAGGCGCCCGGGGAGGGTTGGGTGCAGGGGGTGTACGTAGCTACACACCACTCGGTAATTGTGGAAATAAGATGGTCTGCTGTAGGGCAGTGAACGGTCTCCCCTTAAAACATACATTCAAGGCTGGGCGCGGTGGCTCATGCCTGTAATCCTGGCACTTTGGGAGGCCGAGGCGGGTGGATCACATGTGCTGAGGAGTTCGACATCAGCCTGGCCAACGCGGTGAAACCCCGTCTCTACTAAAAAAGCAAAACTTTGCTGGGTGTGGTGGCGTGTGCTGTCATCCCAGGTACTCGGCAGGCTGAGGCAGGAGGACCACGTGCACCCGGGAAGTGGAGGTTGCCCTGAGCTGAGACAGTGGCACCGCACTCCAGCCTGGGCGACTGAGGGAGACACCGTCTCAAACTCAAAAAGGAAACAAAACAAAATAGCTGGGTGCAGTGGATCATGCCTGTCATCCCCGTACATTCAGAGGCCGAGCTGAGCGGATCACCTGAGGTCAGGAGTTTGAGACCAGCCTGGCCAACATGGTGAAACCCCGACTACCTACTAAAAATACAAAAATCCCATCTATCTACTAAAAATACAAAAATTACCCGGGTGTGGTGTGGGCGCCTGTAATCCCAGCTACTCGGGAGGCTGAGGCAGGAGAATCGCTCAAACCCGGGAGGTGGAGGCTGCAGTGAGCTGAGATCACACCACTTTACTTAAGCATGGCTGACAGAGCAAGACTCAAAAAGTAAAATAAACTTTAGCATTTCTGTTTCTCCTGCAGACGAGCTGTAGGGCGACTGTGGCGTGTGTGTGTATGTTTTGAGATGGAGTCTCTCTGTGTCACTGGGCTGCAGTGGCTCGATTATCGGCTCACTGCAACCTCCACCTCAGCGATTCTCCTGCATCAGCCTCCTGAGTAGCTGGGATTACAGGCACCTGCCACTACATCTGGCTAATTTTTGTATTTTTAGTAGAGACGGGGTTTCACCATGTTGACCAGGACAGTCTCGATCTCTTGACCTTGTGATCCTCTTGCCTCAGTCTCCCAAAGTGCTGGGTTTAGTGATGTGAGCCACGGTGCCCGGCCAATTGTGTTTCTTTAAAAACTAGAAAGGTACCCAGAAACCTTGGGGGGAAGAGGGGCATGGAGGTGCCCAGCGCCTCTGCCCGCAGGCCTGGCCGACGTCGGATGCCGCCGAGTCACGGCTCGGGAGGCGTCTCCTCTCAATCCATGCAGGCACCTGCGGCTGCCACCTCTCTCAGTCTAACCTGGGGCCGCCCTGTTGCAGCTCTTGAGTGGTCTCCTTCTGTGGCCTCGGTGCCGTGGACACCCGTGGTCACGGAGGTCAGCCGTTCCCCATCTCCACTCCCCACTGACTACCTGCACCCAGGACAGCTTCACACAGCCGCCCACCTGGTGGTTCTTTTGTATTTATTATTATTTTCTTCTTTATTTGAGATGGAGTTTTGCTCTTGTTGCCCAGGCTGGAGTGCACTGGTCTGATCTCGGCTGACTGCTACCTCCGCCTCCCTCCTGGGTTCAAGTGATTCTCTGCCTCAGCCTCCTGAGTAGCTGGGATTTCAGGCACCAGCCGCTAAGCCTGGCTGATTTCTTTCTATTTTTTTTTTTTTTTTTTTTGAGACGGAGTTTCGCTCTTGTTACCCAGGCTGGAGTGCAATGGCACGATCTCGGCTCACCGCAACCTCCGCCTCCTGGGTTCAGGCAATTCTCCTGGCTCAGCCTCCCGAGTAGCTGGGATTACAGGCACGTGCCACCATGTCCAGCTAATTTTTGTATTTTTAGTAGAGACGGGGTTTCACCATGTTGACCAGGACGGTCTCGATCTCTTGACCTTGTGATCCTCCTGCCTCAGTCAACCAAAGTGCTGGGATTATAGGTGTGAGCCACTGCACCCGGCCAAGATTACTTTTTTTTTTTTTGAGACGGAGTTTCGCTCTTGTCACCCAGGCTGGAGTGCAATGGCGCGATCTTGGCTCACCGCAACCTCCGCCTCCTGGGTTCAGGCAATTCTCCTGCCTCAGCCTCCCGAGTAGCTGGGACTACAGTCAGGTGCCACCATGCCCAGCTAATTTTTTGTATTTTTAGTAGAGACGGGGTTTCACCTTGTTGACCAGGATGGTCTCGATCTCTAGACCTCCTGGTCCACCCGCCTCGGCCTCCCAAAGTGCTGGGATGACAGGTGTGAGCCACCGCGTCCGGCGTATTTACCATTACTATTATTGTTTTATTTATTTATTTTTTCCGAGGTGGAGTTTCGCTCATTGCCCAGGCTGGAGTGCACTGGTCTGATCTCGGCTCACTGAGACCTCCACCTACCTCCTGGGTTCAAGTGATTCTTCTGCCTGAGTCTCCCGAATAGCTGGGATTACAGGCATCAGCTACCACACCAGGCTAAGTTTTTTGTATTTTTTTTTTTAAGATGGGGTTTCACCATGTTGGTCAGGCTGGTCTCGAACACCCGACCTCAGGTGATCTGCCCACCTTGGCCTCCAAAGTGCTGGGATTACAGGCATCAGCCACTGTGCCCAGCCGAGTTTTTGTATTTTTACTAGAGATGGGGTTTCTCCATGTTGGTCGGGTTGGATTCGATCTCTCCACCTCTGGTGATCCACCCACCTTGGCCTCCCAAAGTGCTGGGATTACAGGCGTAAGCCACCGCGCCTGGCCACGTCTACCTGGTTAGAGATGCCCTCGTGTCTCTGTGTACCCACACACACACACACACACACACAGGCATACCCAGGGACGCAGACACACGGGCATCGCACATATAGCCACACAGATGCACCGACGCACATACAGTCACAGACACACATGCATCACACGCCACAAACAGGCACCCACAGACATGCCCGGACACGCAGAGACGCACCCACACACAGGTACACACACACACACGCGCAGCAGTCACATACACACAGACACCCACAGCCACACACCATGCACGCAGAGGGAGACACACAGACATGCACTCATACACCCGCAGAGACACACACACACACACACACTCTCAGAAACATACACAACCACACACCACAGAGAACTACACACACACACACGCGCACACACACACACACAGACGGTCTCATGCACAGACACACATGGAAGAACATAACAGACACACATGCATACACAAACACCCACACGGCCATACACAAACACAGAAAGCCACACAGACACACACACGCAACAGTCACATACGCACAGACATCCACAGCCACACACCATGCACACAGAGGCAGACCCACAGACATGCACATATATACCCGCAGAGACACACGCAGACATACACATACACACATACCCTCAGATACATACACAACCACACACCACACAGAACTGCACACACACACACACACACACACACACACGGTCTCATGCACAGACACGCATGGAAGAACATACCAGACACACATGCACACACAAACACCCACATGGACATACACAAACACAGAAACCCACACAGACACACAGACACACACACACCCGCAGCAGTCACATATGCACAGACACCCACGACACACACCATGCACATCGATGCAGACACACACACACACAGAGACGGTCTCATGCACAGACACGCATGGAAGAACATACCAGACACACATGCACACACAAACACCCACACAGACATACACAAACACAGAAACCCACACAGACACACAAACAGGCACACACACACCTGCAGCAGTCACAAATGCAGAGACCCACGACACACACCATGCACACAGATGCAGACACACACACAGACACACACACACCCGCAGAGACGCACGCACCTATACACCCTCACAGACACATACACAACCACCACACACCACAGAGACATGCCATGCACAGACACATGTGCAGACGCAGACACAGAGTCTCACGCACAGACACACAAGGTCACACCACACAGAGACACATATACACCACACACAAGGACATAGCACACAGAGACACACAAGCACAGCACAGTCAGCTATGCACACAGACACCCAGAGACACATACTGTGGAAAAGCACACACAGAAACACGCATGCACGCACGCCGCCCCGCGTGCTCTCTGGAAGGCGGTGAGGCAGCAGGGCAAACGCGAGGAAGCCTCACCGGCAGCGAATTGGACCTGAGCCGCCTGCGGCCCGGCGGGTTGGAAGTGTGCGGCCAGCTCGATGGTTTCGGGGAGGTCGAACACGGTCACCTGCAGATGCGGGTTCTCCCGGACCAGCTCTTGGGCCAGCGCGCCCGTGCAGCCTGCGGGGAAGCAAATGCCGGCTGTGCGGCCGGGTCGTCCCGGTGCCGTCGGAACCCTGACCACCCTCCAAAGCTCAACCGAGTAGAAGTAACGTTCACGCGATGGCCGGTGCCACAGCAGCCATTCGGGGCCACGTGTGGGGACACAGACTTGGAGGGAAATCCTTCCAGCCCGGGGTGGGGGTCTGTACTCCTCCCTTCTCCTTCCTGCCATGGGGATGCAGACACCACGGCCGGGGACGGTGGCTCACGCCTGTCATCCCAGCACTTTGGGAGGCCGAGGCGGGTGGATCACCAGGTCAAGACATCGAGACCAGCCTGCCCAAAAATTAGCCAGTTGTGGTGGCAGGTGCCTGTAATCCCAGCTACTTGGGAGGCTGACGCAGGAGAATCGCTTGAACCCGGGAGGTGGAGGTTGCAGTGAGCTGAGATCAGACCATCACACTCCAGCTTGGGCGACAGAGCAAGACTCAACCTCTGCCTCCTGGGTTCAGGCCATTCTCCTGCCTCAGCCTCCTGAGTTGCTGAGACTGTAGGCGCACGCCACCATGCCCGGCTAATTTTTGTATTTTTAGTAGAGACAGGGTTTCTCCATGTTGACCAGGCTGGTCTCGAACTCCTGACCTCAGATGATCCGCCCGCCTTGGCCTCCCAAAGTGCTGGGATTACAGGCGTGAGCCACTGCGCCCGGTTAATGCCTGCAGCTTAATACAGACAAAGTCACGGGAGGAGTGGTGGCAGGGCAGGGGGGTTGTACCCACCTCCCACGTCGCAGGCGGAGGAGAAGCCAGACAGGTCGAAGGCGGTGGCTATGTACCGCGCATTCAGCTTGGACAGGCCATGCATGGTTTGCATGAACCACAGCCGCGTCTCGGGGCTCTGGTAGAGCACGTCCTGGAACACAGCGGGGGCTCAGGGGCGCACGGGCCGGGGGCTTGCTCGGCCTGTCCCCAGGCAGAAAACACACAGGCCCTGGCGCCTGCGCTGCAGAGGGGGCTTCATGGCACAGCTGCGTGGGGCACCCATGTCTGTGCCAAGGCTGGGGACAGAGGACCCCCAAATTGGAGGTGATCTCCTTGGAATCACTGGGTCCACACACGGCGTGACCTGCAAGCATCCGAGTTTCCCAGACAAGGAGGCTTTTCACCCTGGAAGCTCCGGGTCACCCACGGACATCTCAACGTGGAAAACCGGGGAGAGGGAAGCAGAGGGGGGTCCTCCCGGACAGAGAATATGGTCCTCTTAGCTGCCCCAGGTCTCATGGTGGTACCCACCCCGGCCACAGAGGAACCCAGGTCAGTCCTGGTCAGGGCTGCGCTCACCACTCCCACCCTGGATGTGCCTTGTCCCCCCTGGGCAAGGAAGCCCTGCCCAGCCTGCTCCTGAGCCTGGCTCCCAGGGGACAGACCCTCCACCCTGGCTCCCCAAATCCCTCGTGGCCTCCCCGGCTCTCCCCTTGGCAGGCAGCAGCGACAGAGTCAGGGCATCCTCCTCGAGGCCCAGGCTGGCTGCTCACTCCGGCTCGGGGCCCCTGTCTGCGCCTCTCGGCTTCTCTCTCCACTGCTGGCTTCTGTCTCTGTGTCACTCTGTCTCCCTTCGTCTCTGTTCTCCTTCTATCTCACCATCTCCTTCTGTCTCTTTCTGCCTCTATCTCTGTCCCTCCAAGCCTCCTTGTCTATCTCCCTATCTCTGTCTCCCTCTGTGTCTCTGTCTCGCTGTCTCTGTTCTCTATCGCACCATCTCCTTCTGTCTCTTCCTGCCTCTATCTCTGTCTCCCTCTGTTTGTCTCTGTCTCGCTGTCTCTGTTCTCTATCGCACCATCTCCTTCTGTCTCTTCCTGCGTCTATCTCTGTCCCTCCAAGCCTCCTTGCCTGTCTCCCTATCTCTGTCTCCCTCTGTGTGTCTCTGTCTCGCTGTCTCTGTTCTCTATCTCTCTGTCTCCTTCTGTCTCTCTCTGCCTCTATCTCTGTCCCTCCAAGCCTCCATGTCTCTGTCTCCCTCTGTGAGTCTGTGTGTCCCTCTGTGCGTCTGTCTCCCTCTCTGTTCTCTTTCTATCTCTCCATCTCCTTCTGTCTCTCTCTCTGCCTCTATCTCTGTCTCTCCAAGCCTCCCTGTCTCTGCCTCCCTGTCTCAGTCTCTCTGTGTTCTTGACAGAAACACAGAAACAGAGAGACAAGAGTATCTCCAGCCTGTGTGGAGATGAATGGGATCTTGGCTCACTGCAGCCTCCGCCTCCCGGGTTCAAACGATTCTCCCACCTCAGCCTCCCGAGTAGGTGGAATCACAGGCCCGCCACCAAGCCCGGCTAATTTTGTGCATTTTTGGTAGAGATGGGGTTTCCCCATGTTGGCCAGGCTGGTCTCGAACTCCTGACCTCAGGTGATCATCCCACCTTGGCCTCCCAAGCTGGCTGGGATGACCGGCTCATGCCACCAAGCCCGTCCTCATCTTTCATTGTTTTTATAGAGATGGGGTCTCACTGTGTTGGCCAGGCTGGTCTCAAACTCCTGGGCTGAAACCATCCTCCCAACTTCGACTCAAAAAGTGCAGGGATTCCAGGTGTGAGTTCCGACGTACGGCCTCCAAACCCCTTTCTGGGAGGAAATTCTGGTTTCTTATTTTTTTTTTTCAGATGAAGTTTTGCTGTTGTGTCCCAGACTGAAGTACAATGTCGCAATCTCAGCTCACTACGACCTCCGCCTCCCGGGTTCAAGCGATTCTCCTGCCTCGGCCTCCTGAGTTGCTGGAATTACAGGCGCCCACCACCACGCCCGGCTGATTTTTTGTATTTTTATCAGACAGGGTTTCACTATGTTGGTCAGGCTGGTCTTGAACTCCCGACCTCGTGATCCACCCACCTCGGCCCCTCCCCAAGTGCTGGGACGACAGGCGTGAGCCACCGCGCCCGGCCACTGGCAGTTCTGTTTGCAGCTGCTGCGGGGTAACAGTGGACGATAGCTACGGTGGGCCTTTCCAGAGGTGACTGAAGACACAGCCACAGCACCAAGGCTTTGGGATGTGCCGGCCTGGAGACCGACTGATCCAGGCGCCCACGCTGCCCTGTGCGCCAACGTGCCTTAGCAGGACGCACGCCAGGCGGAAAGGCTCCGCGGCGGCTCCCCCTACCTGGAACACATCTTCCGCCTTCTTCCCCTGCACCCGGTGGTGCTGGTTTCTTCCCTCTCGGACGGCGAACTCCAGGTGCGTAAAGAGGTTCCAGGTGACCTCACTGCTGTACATGATGAAGCCATGAAGAGACCAGTCACCATCCGACGTCAGGTAGAGGTTTGCCGCCTCTGTGTTACTGTAACCTGAAGAAACAGGATGCTCATGTGACCTCAGAACAAGGAAACCCAAGGAGGCCGGCTGCGGTGGTTCATGCGGTCACCCAGCACTTCGGGAGGCCGAGGCAGGCGGATCACGAGGTCAGGAGTTCGAGACCAGCCTGACCAACATGGAGAAACCCCATGTCCACCAAAAGTAACAAAAATTAGCCAGGCGTGGTGGTGGGCGCCTGACATACCAGCTACTCAGGAGGCTGAGGCAGGAGAATCACTTGAACCCGGGAGGTAGAGGTTGCAGAGAGTGGAGGTCCTGCCACTGCACTCCAGGCTGGGTGACAGACCAAGACTCTATCTAAAGAGGCCAGGCGCAGTGGCTCATGCCTGTCAACCCAGCACACTGGGAGGTCGACGTGGGCAGATCACGAGGTCGGGAGTTCGAGACCAGCCTGACCAACATGGGGAAACCCTGTCTCTACTAAAAATAGAGGCGTCGTGGTGGGCGCCTGTAATCCCAGCTACTCGGGAGGCTGAGGCAGGAGAATCGCTCGAACCCGGGAGGGGGAGGTTGCAGTGAGCCTAGATCGTGCCACTGCACTCTAGCCTGGGGGACAGAGCCAGACTCCTTTTAAAAAAAATAGGCCAGGCATGGTGGCTCATACCTGTAGTCCCAGCACTTTGGGAGGCCGACGTGGGTGGAACATGAGGTCAGGAGTTTGACAGCAGCCTGGCCAAGATGTTTTCCCATCTCTACTAAAAATAACAAAAATTAGGCAGCTGGGGCGGCGCACACCTGTAGCCCCAGCTACTTGGGAGGCTGAGGCAGGAGAATTGCTTGGATGCAGGAGGTGAAGGTTGCAGTGAGCCGAGGTCTTCCCAGTGCACTCCAGCCTGGGCGACAGAGTGAGACTCCATCTAAACAATAAATAAATAAATCTTCTAGGTTACATCCTAGGGGTTCTGTTGCCCTGGATAGCCCCGAGTGATACAGGGAAGTTCTTCCTTCCACCCACTTCATGCCCAGGTCAGCTGTCCGCAGACGCAGGCCGCAAGCTCCCTGCCAGGACGCCCCCTCCCACAGAACGAGAGGCTGGAAGGCGGAGGACCTGTCAGTGGACACCCATACGTGTAAACAGATGGCCTGGCACCTCTCTGGTTCTGCTGTGTCAGAAGCGGCCCTGGGTTCAAGTTGGTCATGAAAGGTGACCGTTCCTGACACCTACTGTGGAGCAGGCAGCCCGTGCAGACGACAGCTGCTCCTAGACGTCAAGTGCACAAACCCCTTCTCCATATTCATCATGATTTCCTTCCCTCCTTCCTTTCTTCCCTCCCTCCCTTCCTTCTCTCCTTCCCTCCTTCCCTCCCTCCCTTCCTCCCTTCACTCTCTCTTTTCTGACAGTGTTTCGCTCTTGTTGCCCAGGCTGGAGTGCAGTGGCACAATCTCGGCTCACTGCAACCTTCCCCTCCTGCATTCAGGTGATTCTCCTGCCTCAGCCTCCCAAGTACCTGGGACTACAGGCACGCGCCACCACACCTGGGTAATTTCGTATTTTTAGTAGAGACAGAGTTTCACCACGTTGCTCAGGCTGGTCTCAATCTCCTGATCTCAGGTGATCCACCCACCTTGGCCTCTGAAAGTGCTGGGATTACAGGCATGAGCCACCATGATTTTTAGTACAGGAGAATGGCACTGAACTCCTCTAGCTGGGAAGACGTTCTGCCTCCTATGCTCCGAACTCTTAATGATATAGTCACGTGTCTCTGTGGCAAGGGCGCAGCCTCTGGGGCCTCGACTTCAGCATGCTTTGTCTCCTAATCTGCTCAGGCGTCGTCTGTCCTCCTGCCCTTCCCAAGCTACTCAAGGACTTGGCCATGTGCTCTCTGTTCTAGCATCGTGCTGAAGAGTTCTGTTTGATTCACAAAACACATCATCCATCCACCCATCCATCCACTTATCCATCCATTCCCCACCCATCCATCTGTTCACCCACCCTCCCGATCACCCACCTACTCATTCACTCATCCATCCACTCACCCACCCATCCATCCAGCCATCCACCCACTCACCCACTCATCCCCCACCATCCCAATCAGCCACCAGGTCATTCACTCATTCATCCACTCACCCACCCATACATCTACCCATCCACTCACTCATCCATACATTCCCCCACCTAACTACCCATCCACCAATCCACTGATATGTGTATTCATCCACCCTCTCATCCATCCACCCTCTCATCCATCCATCCATCCATCCATCCATCCATCCATCCATCCATCTATCCATCCATTCACCCACCCTCCCAATCATGCACCTAGTCATTCACTCATCCATCCATTCACCCACCCATCTATCCACCCATCTACATACCCACTCATCCATCCATCCAACTACCCACCCATTCATCCAACCATCTACCCACTCACCCACTCATCCATACATTCCCCACCCAACTACCCATCCACCGACCCACTGATACATGTATTCATCCAGCTTCTCATCCATCCATCCATCTATCCATCCATCCATCCATCCATCCATCCATCCATCCAGCCATTCACCCACCCTCCCAGTCACACAGCTAGTCATTGACTCATCCATCCATTCACATACCCATCCATCCACCCATCTACACGCCCACTCATCCATCCATCCAACCGCCCACCCATTCATCCATCCATCCACTCACCTAACTCATCCATCTATCCATCCACCCATCCTTCCAACCATCCATCCATCCATTCACCCACCTTCCCAATCACGCACCTAGTCATTCACTCATGCATCCATTCACCCAGCCACCCACCCACCCACCCACCTACATGCCCACTCATCCACCCATCCAACCGCTCACCCATTCATCCATCCATCAACACACCTAACTCATCCATCCACCCATTCATTGATTCACTGATCCACCCATCCACCCACTCATCCATCCATTCCCTCACCCAACTATCCATCCACTGACCCACTGATACATGTTCATCAACCCTACCATCTATCCATCCATCCATCCAATTATGCACCCTCCCACCCATCCACCCATCCATCCACCCATCCAATAATCCACCCATCCATCCTCACATCCACCCCATCCATCATCCACCCAATCACCCACCTACTCATCCATCCACCCAACCACTGATTCACTGATCCATCCATCCATGTATCATCCACCCGTCCACACCCATCCATCCACCCACTTATTCATCCATTCCCTCATGCAACTACCCATCCACCGATCCACTGATACATCCATCCATCCACCCACCCATCCATCCATTCACCCACCCTCCCAATCACCCATCCATCCATCCACACATCCATGCATTCATTCATCCAATCCCCTCACCCAACAACCCATCCACCGATCTGCTGATACATCTATTCATACACCCTCCCATCCATCCATCCATCCATCCATCTGTCCATCCATCCACCCATCCAATTTTGCACCCTCTCATCCATCCATCCACCCATCCACCCACTCATCCATCCATTACCTCACGCAACTACCCATCCACCCTCCCATCCATCCATCCACCCACCCACTCATCCATCCATTCCCTCACGCAACTACCCATCCACTGATCTGCTGATACATCCACTCATCCACCCTCCCATCCATCCATCCACCCACCCTCCCAATCACCCATCCATCCATCCACCCATCCACCTACTCATTGATCCATTCCCTCACGCAACTACCCACCCACTGATCCACGAATACATATATTCATCCACCCTCCCATCCATCCATCCATCCATCCATCCACCCACCCATGCAATTATGCACCCTCCCACCTATCCATCCATCAATCCATCCACCCATCCACGCACACTCATCCATCCATTCCCTCATGCAACTAGCTATCCACCAATCCACTGATATATGTATTCATCCACCCTCCCATCCATCCATCTACCCACCCATCCAATTATGCATCCTCCCACCCACCCATTCATCCATCCATCCATCCACCCACCCACTCATCCATCCATTCCCTTACCCAACTACTCATCTACCGATCCAGTGATACATCTATTCATCCATCTTCTCATCTACCATCCATCCATCCATCCATCCATCCATCCATCTATTCACCCACCCTCCCAATCACCAATCCATCCATCTACTCATCCATCCATTCCCTCACCCAACAACCCATCCACCGATCCAATGATACATCTGTTCATCCACACTCTCATCCATCCATCCAAGCATCCACCCATCCATCCATCCATTCATCCATCCACCCATCCACCCATCCAACCATCCACCCATCCATCGATCTAGCCACCCATCCATGCACCCATCCACCGATTCACCAATCCATCCATTCGCTACCCACCCTCCCATTTACCCATTCATCCACCCACCCACCCACCCACCCATCTGTTCACCCATTCACTGATCTACCAACCCATCCACCTTCCCATCCATCCATCTATCCAGTTACTATTATCTATCCATCCATTCATCAATGCATCCATCCATCTATCTATCCATTTACATATCAGCTCTACTTATCATCTATGTCTATCCGTCTCCATCATCCATCTATATCGAGGTATCTATACATTTATCGTCTATCCATGTATCTGTCTACCCACCCATCCAGGTTATCTGTCTATAAACATAAATAAACAAGTAAAGACATGTCTGTGTCCCCGTGTTGGGTTTTTTTCTCAGGAGAACACTGACTAGATACGCCCACTTTGAGACCAGACCTCATAAGGAGCCTGCATTTCTCCCGCCTACTCGCAGCCACCGCTGTTCCCTCTCTCATCCACCGTCTGCTTCTAATCCTTTTGGGAACAGCAGCGACCCTGAGGGCAGAGAGGGTACAGAAGGTCTGGCCCTCCTTCCTCACCCTGCCTGGGCTCCAGGTCACCATCCCTCAGTGACTTACTTCCCCCTGCCAAGATTCTCAGGGCCAAAGCCGAAGTTAGAGTCTCATTACCTTGCTCTGACTTCTCCAGGAACCCCAGGCATGCGCAGAAGTCCAGAAGCCTCTCCGTGCCGCACACAGAGGCGTCCACTTTGCTGGCAATGCCCGCGGCCTTCTGGGGAGCTTCGTCTTTTAACAGATCAAACACCTTCAGCTTGCAGGCGGTGAATAGGGCCTGCCCGTTAAAAACAGGTGCGGGGGGACTCAGTGAGTCACTTGCCAAGCCCTTTTTCCTCCCACAGACCCTCCACGAGATCCTGGAGGCCAAGGGTGTCGAAACTGTTTCACGTGGCCGCTGAGCTTTCTCTTAGAGCGAGCAGTGGGGATTACAGGATCAAGTCCCCAGCTACGAGGCATAAAAGCACATCTAGGAATGTCATGTAGGAAAACCAGCCCACGGGGGGAAAATCAACATGCTACAGATATGGGTCAAGCCCAAAACCCGCACGTTCAATCCCTAATCCCCCCAGTATCTCAGGATGTGACTCTATTTGTAGGCAGGTTTTTTTTCCCTAATTAAATTTTTTTTTAAATTTATTGAGATGGACTCTTGCTCTGTTGCCCATGCTGGAGTGCAACGGCACGATCTCGGCTCACTGCAACCTCTGCCTCCCAGGTTCAAGCGATTCTCCTGACTCAGCCTCCAGAGTAGCTGGGACTATAGGTGTGCACCACCACACCCGGCTAATTTGTGTGTTTTTAGCAGAGACAGGGTTTCACCGTGTTGGCCAGGACAGTCTCGAACTCCTGACCTTAGGTGATCTGCCCACCTAGGCCTCCCAAAGTGCTGGGATGACAGGTGTGAGCCACTGTGCCCGGCCTGTAGGCGTGGTTTTAAAGAGATGATAAAGGTAAAATGAGGTCATTTGGGTGGACCAGATCCAATGGCACTCCGGGGTGCTTATAGGAAGAGGAGGTGAGGACACAGGCACGCACAGAGGGACGACCCCGTGAGGACACAGGGACAAGATGGCGTCTCCAAGCCCATGAGAGAGGCCTCAGGAGGAGCCGGCCCTGCCCACACCTGGATCTCAGACCTCCAGCCTCCAGGACTCTGTTGTTTATAAACCTCCCAGTGGCTAATAAATTATATAAATTATGTAATTTATATATCTCTTCTTCTTACAAGGACCCCAGTCCTATTGGATTTGGTCCTCCCAAATGACCTCACTTTACCTTAACTATAATTACACGATTATATATAAATATGTAATCACAGAATTATATATTTAACTAACATATATTCTAATATAAATATATTAGTTAAATAATTACATAATTATAAGTTATATAATTACATATTTATAAATTACATAAATGTACATAATTATATTATATAATGGTATACTTATATAATTATAATTATATAAATTATGTGAATTATATGCCTTATTTATATAATTATTAAATTATGTAAATCATATAGCTTGTATAAATTATACAAGTCAAATTATATACACAAGTTATATAATCATATAACTCATATAATTTATGTAATTATATAATTTATATTTATATAATTTATGTTATTTATGTAATTATGTTTATATAATTATGTGATTATAAGCAACTATATAATTATAAATAAATTATAACTATAAATTAAATTTTAAATTATAATCATAATTTATCAATTCTTATTAAATAAGGATCTCTAATTTAACAATGGTGCCATCTCAGCTCACCACAACCTCCACCTCCCGGCTTCAAGCGATTCTCCTGCCTCAGCCTCCCGAGTAGCTGGGACTACAGGCATGCACCGTGCCCAGCTAATTTTTGTATTTGTAGCAGAGATGGGGTTTCCCTGTTGGTCAGGATGGTCTCCATCTCTTGACCTTCTGAACTGGCTACCTGAGCCTCCCAAAGGGCTGGGATGACAGCTGTGAGCCACCACGCCTGGCCGGGATCTTATTTGAAAATAAAAGGGTCTTTGTGAGCTAGGGGAGTTGAGATGAGTCGGGGTCAGTGGATGAGGGAGATGCAGGCACACAGGAGGAGGCCACGTGGAGACACAGGCAGAGACTGCAGTGATGGGGCCACAAGCCCAGGGATGCTGGAGGTGCCAGGAGCTGGGAAAGGCAGGAAGGACCCTCGCTAGAACCGCCAGAGAAGGCGTGCCCCTGAGACACCTTCATCTCAGCCTGCCACCCTCCAGGACTGTGACGACAAGACTCCTGTGGATTTAAGCCCTGCGTGTGGTCATTTGGGACAGTGGCCCGAGGATGCAGACACAGGTACCTTCGATGTTTTGAAGCCATTGATGAGTTCCAGGAGGCGTGTGGGGAACGGGGGCAGGGTCTCACAGGTCCTGTTCCCCTCAGCCTCTGCTGTGGCGTCTCTGGCCACTCCAGCCTCAGCCTTGTCCCTCCGAGTGGGCGCCGGGCCGCCTTCGTCCACGTCACTGAGGTCTTCGAAGGTGTCCACGGCCGGGATGGAGCCGTGCTTGACACGCTGCAGGTCCTCCGGCCGGGGCGGGTCGTACAGCTGCAACAGCTGCTTGCAGAAGTGGTTGAGCGGGAAGCCGACGACATTGAGGAAGTCCCCGTGCACCGACTCCACCAGCATCCCGCCGAGAGCCTGGATCCCGTAGCCGCCTGCCTTGTCCCTGGCGGGGGCAGTGGAAGGGAAGAGGTCACAACCAGGAGAAACATCTCCCCTGGTTAGATATGCCACAGCCACCAGGGCCGGGCGCGGTGGCTCACACCTGTCATCCCAGCACTGTGAGAGGCCGAGGCCGGAGGGACACCTGAACTTGTGAGTTCGAGACCAGCCTGGCCAACATGGAGAAACCCCGTATGTATTGAAAACGCAAAGATCAGCTGGGCATAGTAGCTCACGCCTGTCATCCCAGCACTGTGAGAGGCCGAGGTGGACGAACTCCTGAGGTCGCGAGTTCTAGACCAGCCTGGCCAACATGGAGAAACCCCGTCTGTACTAAAAATGCAAAAATCAGCCAGGCATGATGCTGGGTACCTGTGATCCCAGCTACTCAGGAGGCTGGCGCAGAAGAACTGCTTGAACCCGGGAGGTGGAGGTTGCAGTGAGCCGAGATTGCACCACTGCCCTCCAGCTTCAGAAACAAGCACAAGATTCCGCCTCAAAAAAAAAAAACCCATGGCCAGGGCTGCCCTCCACTTTGGGCAGTCAGGCCAGAGGGTACAAGAGCCAGACGCATCTTCTCTGGGTAGCTTCCTATTAAGGAGAGTTCAGTGCTGGGCCGAGGCTCTTTTCTCTCTTTAAAAAAACACTTTTATTTATTTTTCACTTTTATTTTTTGAGATGGAATCATCATATTACTATTAGTTGATATAAATTAAAATTAATCATTTAACAATAAGCATTAATCAAAATTATATTTATGTATATTACAGTATAACCTATTATATATAAACATATACACATTCATATGATGTATATTGTCATATATATCCATATATAGTAATATCTAATAACCGTTAACATGTATGTAATTAACGTATTACATACAATCAACATGTAATATATAAATTATGTGTGAATACAGTTCCATGTTACATTATGTCATGTATAATTACAGACACACTATATGTTGTATGCTATAGATAACTGTGGTACACGTCCCTCTGCCACACAGCCTCAGGCTCAGCCCTGTGGGGGCAGGTACCGGGCCTCCTTTCCCAAGGCTGGCTGGGACCCCACGTGTGAGGGTGGGCAGGCCTTCGTGTCTCCCCGCCCCCAGCGCCCCGAGACTCACATGGGCTCCCCACTGTGGATGTATTCCCAGAGCAGGTCCTCCGACAGCTCCGAGAACTTCACCATCGTTTCCTCGTAGAATTCCGAGACCCTGGTGTCCAGCTTATTGTCTGCAAGCACAGGGCCATGGTGTGAGCGAGGATGCCAGCTTGTCCCCTGCAGGGCCTGACACCTGCAGGGCTGTGGTGCGCTGTTTACCTGAGTGTAGCGCACAGTTCAGACACGGAGGTTCGCGGTGGAAAAGGTTTTATTTCAGACAAGTAAAGAGTGGGAAGTAGAAAAGTGCCCTTTTAAAGTTTCCTTTCTTGTTAAAGAATAAGTGTGCTAATAACTCTCTGTGAAGCCCCATCCTACGTAGCTGTTAGACATGCTGAGCTCACAGGCACATAGGACATTCTACGTCCTTGTCCTTTCACCGAGATATCAGAGCTGGACGTGCTCACAGGCGGGTCCCAGCTCTCCGTGGCTGTCATCTGTTTAGAAAAGTTTTAAGTTGTCAGCCAGTCGGGTTTTAGTTTAGATGCTGAGATCTGGCTCCGGCCCATGGGGCTCAGACACGGCAGGAAGGACGACCCCACATGCGTCAGGGATACATGTGTGTGTTTTCCTTGGTTCATTGTACTCTCGTGGCAAGATGGCTACTGAGGGTCCCCTCCCTGCAGCCCAGGAGGTAAAAACTGTGTTGCTGAGATCCGCTGTCTCAGGGCTGATTTTGCTTTGCGCCACTGAGCATGTTTCCAACAAAAAGAGGGAAAGGACAGAACAAAAAAGAAGCCAATAAAATCACGGGGCGTAGGAGGAGGCCGAGAGCGCGACCCACGCTCCAGCAGGAAGAGCACCGGTCTTCTGTGAAGCCTTGGCGTGAAAGTTTTGGGGTCAACACGAGGACTTCAGCAGCGGGTGGAAAAGCCACAAGCATAGCATGAGGGCAGCTTGGGGGACCTGCAGGAGAGCTCCCCGATCAACTGGCCTGGGTCCAAGGGGCTCCCCCAAAATCCATGTCCACCTGGAACCTGGGAATGGGATCTTATTTTGAAATAGGAACTTTGCGGATGAAATTAGGGAAAGGGTGTCAAAATGAAATTATCTTGGGTTCAGGGTCGGTCCTAAAGCCAATGACAAGTGTCTGTAAGAGAGGCAAAAGAGGAGACACTGACACAGAGGAGGAGGCCTCGTAGAGACGGAGGAGGTGGAGGCTGGAGTGATGGGGCCAGAAGCCCATGGATGCTGGAGCCCAAGGAGCTGCGAGAGGCAGGAGGGAGCCTCCCCTAGTGGCTCCAGAGGGAACTACACACAATTGTACTGGATGGAATATTAGTTACCACAAAGGTTTTCGTGTTTTTTAAACTTCGAATTCCTAACAAACTATCCAACATCAAATGATAATTATTTTTCCTGGTCTGATTAATCCTTTAAAATACTATTAATAGGTTCCCTAAAGTTGAAAAATAACCTATGTGGCTTATTTAGTATAAAAATTACACAGGAGGCTGGGCGTGGTGGCTCACGCCTGTAATCCCAGCACTTTGGGAGGCCGAGGTGGGTGGACCACGAGGTCAATAGATCGAGACCAGCCTGGTCAACATGGTGAAACCCTGTCTCCAGTAAAACACAAAAATTAGCCGGGCGTGGTGGCGGGCACCTGTAATCCCAGCTACTGGGGAGGCTGAGGTAGGAGAAGGGCTTGAACCCGGGAGGCGGAGGTTGCACTGAGCCGAGATTGCGCCACAGCACTCCAGCCTGGCGTCTGGCAACAGAACAAGACTCTGTCTCCAAAAAAAAATAATAATAATACACAGAAAACATGGTCAAATATAGAATTGTGTATTTTATATTTTTAATATAAATGTTTTTATTATATAAAACATATAAAATAAATATTATGTATTTTTCATAGAAATATAAAATGGTGCATCTGTATCTTAGGGCTGGATTCTATACCTATGTTATTAGCATGTGTTCCAAAATCATTAAAAAAAACTCCTGTAATTCTAATATGAGTTAGTGTACACCATCAGTAATAATTACAATTGTTACGGTGTATGACACAGAGGTAACCAATGTCCTTATGTTTCACTACCGCGGCCCTAAAACTTTCTGTCATCCACAGACAGTCGGTGTCTCGTTTTGCTTCTCTTTATAAAATGGTTCTATAATCAACTATAGACCTCTAATGGGAGGCCGCGCACGGAGGCTCACTTTGGGAGGCCGAGGTGGGTGGATCACAACGTCGGGAGTTTGAGAGGTAGGGTTTCACCTACATGGTGAAACCCCGCCTCTACTGAAAATACAAAAGTTAGCTGCTTGTGGTAGCGGGCGCCTGTGATCCCAGATATTCAGGAGGCTGAGGCAGAAGTGCTTGAACCCGGGAGGAGGTTAGAGTGACCTCACATCACGCCACTGCACTTCAGCCTGGGCGACAGAGCAAGACTCTGTCTTGGGGCGGGGGGACGGGAAACAAGTACATTTACATACAGGTTTCTAACGACTTTCATTTTTTCTTGTTTTTTTGAGACAGAGTCTTGCTCTGTCACCCAGGCTGGAGTGCAGTGGTGAGATCTTGGCTCGCGGCAACCTCCGCCTCCCTGATTCAAGGGATTTTCCTGCCTCGGCCTCCCGAGTAGCTGGGATTACAGGCGCCCGCCACTACGCCCCGCAATGTTTTGTATTTTTAGTAGAGATGGGGTGTCACCGTGTTGCCCAGGCTGGTCTCGAACTGCCAGCATCCAGTGATACACCCGCCTCGACCTCTCGAAGTGCTAGGATTATGGGCGTGTCACTGCACCTGCTCCGGTTTCTGATAACTTTAAAGATTGTGACATCAAAAATAAACACGAAAAAAGTTAAGACCCCCGGAAAACTGAAATGTTCGTAAATATCAAAGAAAACCAAACTTAACCGCATGGAGGAAACGAGTAAAAGTCTGAAGCAACGCTGTTAACTTTTTACTTAAAACGTTACTGGCCCTTTGTCTGGTTTTCAAGAAAACTGTTTTTTTTTGGACAGAGTTTTGCTGGTTGCCCAGGCTGGAGTGCCACTGTGGGGCGATCTCAGCTCACTGCAACCTCCGCCTCCCAGGTTGAAGCGATTCTCCTGCCTCAGCCTCGCCAGTAGCTGGGATCACAGGCATGGACCACCACGTCCAGCTAATCTTTCTATTTTCAGTAGAGAGGGGGTTTCATCATGTTGGTCAGGCTGGTCTCGAACTCCTGACCTGAGGTGATCCACCCACCTTGGCCTCCCAAAGTGCTGAGACTACAGGTGTCAGTCATTGTGCCTGACCTAAAACTTTTCTTTTAAGCTATTAAAATCCCAGCTACTCAGGAGGGTGAGGCGGGAGAATGTCTTGAACCCAGGAGTCGGAGGCTGCTGTGAGCCGAGATCGCACCACTGCACTCCAGCCTGGGCAACAAGAGGAGACTCTGTCTCCCCCTCCCCCTCCCGAAACCAAAGAAAGAAATACCAAAAGGAGTTATGCCATGAGTCCCATGATGGGGAGCAGGCTGGGCAGGGGTGTTTGTACCCCTCCTTTTTGAGCTGAGAAACAGCTGAGCTGCATTAAGGTTAAAGCTCAGATCATGAGATGGAGAGAAGGGTCTCTCTGTGGTCATAAGACACCACATGCCGACAGGACTCTGCCGTGGCATCACAGACATGCCAGACCCTGACGCAATCACAGTATTTTACACCACGTGCTTGGAAATCATCCTGCAAAGCCCTCTCCTGGCGTAGAAACGATTCTGTAGACACATTCCTTCCACTTCTAGGTCTTTTCTTTCTGTTTTTGAGATGGAGTCTTGTTCTTGTTGCCCAGGCTGGAGTGCAGTGGCGCGATCTCAGCTCACTGCAGCCTCCGCCTCCCAGGTTCAAACGACTCTCCTGCCTCGGCCTCCCTAACTGCTGGGATTACAGGTGCCCACCACGATGCCTGGCTAGTTCTTGTATTTTTAGTAGAGACAGGGTTTCACCATGTTGCCCAGGATGATCTCAAAGTCTTGACCTTGTGATCCACCTGCCTCAGCCTCCCTAAGTGCTGGGATTACAGGCCTGAGCCACCGCGCCCGACCTCTTCTGCATGTTTATAAGACAAATGGCACATTGTCCTTTCCCCTGCACTCTTCCAAATCAGCAAACAACTTTCGCAAGCACGCCATAAGCCCAGGTCCCCACGGGGGCGTGGGCAGCCGCCATCCTCCCTCAAGGCCATGGTCCCTCCAGTGTCCCGGCCCACGTGGACACCCCAATCCCCGGGCCACGGTTACCTTGGCTGGAGCACTGGACGATCGCCACACCTGTGCACACACTGTGTTCTCTGCCACTCAACCTGTCAGACAGAAGCGGTGCCCTCACTGTGAAACGTGGCAGTCACAGAACGGGTTTCCCAAAACCAGAGAGGCAGCCAGGTGGCCTCCGCCCCGGTCCCTCCCCAGCCTCTTCTCCCGGATCGGCCCGCCGTGGCATCACCAGGGAAACTACTGAAAAACGCTGGGAGTATGTAAAAAATACACTGAATGATAAGAGGAATGATGGCAAGGAAAACCCGGCCACCCCCCACCCACAAGCGGAAAACGGCTTGGCACATTCTCAAGCAGCAAAACGATCTAGTTTATCAGTCACTCAGCTTCTCCCAACAGCAAACCTTTACGGACAGGCTGGGGAAGGGGGCACAAATCCCACGGGCAGCGGCCCTAACCGGAGGTCCCAGGCCGGGCACCTCTCAGCTGGGCCTGCTGTCCCAGGGTGTTTTCCATGTCCTGAGATGGGAGTGGAGGACAGGCTGTGGGCTCAGGTCCAGGACGCCCTGTGGAAAGAACAGGGCACGGCCCACTTCTCCCGAGGGTAACAGCCTGCGGTGGGCCCCACACCCTCTGTGATCAGCGCTAAGAATCCCAGACAATGAACAGCATGGAGGGACGGGGACTGCCTCACTGCACAGCTCACACGGCACAGCACACACGGCACAGCTCACACGGCACAGCACACACGGCACAGCTCACACGGCACAGCTCACACGGCACAGCACACACGGCACAGCTCACACAGAACAGATCACACGGCACAGCTCACACGGCACAGCTCACACGGCACAGCACACACGGCACAGCTCACACGGCACAGCTCACACGGCTCAGCACACACGGCACAGCACACACGGCACAGCTCACACGGCACAGCTCACACGGCACAGCACACACGGCACAGCTCACACAGAACAGATCACACGGCACAGCTCACACGGCACAGCTCACACGGCACAGCTCACACGGCACAGCACACACGGCACAGCTCACACGGCACAGCTCACACGGCTCAGCACACACGGCACAGCACACACGGCACAGCTCACACGGCACAGCTCACACGGCTCAGCACACACGGCACAGCACACACGGCACAGCTCACACGGCACAGCTCACACGGCTCAGCACACACGGCACAGCTCACACGGCACAGCTCACACGGCACAGCTCACACGGCTCAGCACACACGGCACAGCACACACGGCACAGCTCACACGGCTCAGCACACACGGCACAGCTCACACGGCACAGCACACACGGCACAGCTCACACGGCACAGCACACAAGGCACAGCACACACGGTACAGCTCACACAGAACAGATCACACGGCACAGCTCACACGGCACAGCTCACACGGCTCAGCACACACGGCACAGCTCACACGGCACAGCTCACACGGCACAGCACACACGGCACAGCTCACACGGCTCAGCACACACGGCACAGCTCACACGGCACAGCACACACGGCACAGCTCACACGGCACAGCACACACGGCACAGCTCACACGGCACAGCACACAAGGCACAGCACACACGGTACAGCTCACACAGAACAGATCACACGGCACAGCTCACACGGCACAGCTCACACGGCTCAGCACACACGGCACAGCACACACGGCACAGCTCACACGGCACAGCACACACGGCACAGCTCACACGGCTCAGCACACACGGCACAGCTCACACGGCACAGCACACACGGCACAGCTCACACGGCACAGCTCACACGGCACAGCACACACGGCACAGCTCACACGGCTCAGCACACACGGCACAGCTCACACGGCACAGCACACACGGCACAGCTCACACGGCACAGCACACACGGCACAGCTCACACGGCACAGCACACACGGCACAGCTCACACGGCTCAGCACACACGGCACAGCACACACGGCACAGCACACACGGCACAGCTCACACGGCTCAGCACACACGGCACAGCTCACACGGCACAGCACACACGGCACAGCACACACGGCACAGCTCACACGGCACAGCACACACGGCACAGCTCACACGGCTCAGCACACACGGCACAGCACACACGGCACAGCTCACACGGCACAGCTCACATGGCTCAGCACACACGGCTCAGCACACACGGCACAGCTCACACGGCACAGCACACACGGCACAGCTCACACGGCATAGCTCACATGGCTCAGCACACACGGCTCAGCACACACGGCACAGCTCACACGGCACAGCACACACGGCACAGCTCACACGGCATAGCTCACATGGCTCAGCACACACGGCACAGCACACACGGCACAGCTCACACGGCACAGCTCACACGGGACAGCACACACGGCACAGCTCACACGGCACAGCACACACGGCACAGCTCACATGGCACAGCACACAAGGCACAGCACACATGGCACAGCTCACACAGAACAGATCACACGGCACAGCTCACACGGCACAGCACACATGGCACAGCTCACACGGCACAGCTCACACGGCTCAGCACACACGGCACAGCTCACACGGCACAGCACACACGGCTCAGCACACACGGCACAGCTCACACGGCACAGCACACACGGCACAGCTCACACGGCTCAGCACACACGGAATAGCTCACACGGCACAGCTCACACGCCACAGCACACATGGTACAGCACACACGGCACAGCTCACATGGCACAGCTCACACGGCACAGATCACACGGCACAGCACACACGGCACAGCTCACAAGGCACAGCAACACGGCACAGCTCACACAGAACAGCACACATGTAACAGATCACACGGCACAGCTCAGACAGCACAGATGGCTACTCTGCGGCCCGGAACCCGAGACTGCCCGGCGGCCAGCACGGCGCTTACTGTGACAGCATTCTGTAGGCGTCCTGCTTGTCCACCGGCTTCTCCAGAATGAGCCGCCCCACGGTCTGCGAGAGGAAAGGAGGGAGTTGGTTCCCGCCGTGTGAGTCAGGTCTGCTAACCTCACTGAACCATTCACAGAAGTCAGCTGTTTTCCGGAAATGAAACTGACACAGCCTGAGAGTCACCATTTTAAACAAGTAACTGCGCTTACCACGTCCTGCCTGGTTCCAGAATGTTCTCATCACTCCGAAAAGGGACCCTGTGCCCCTGAAGCTGTCCCCCCGCCCTCTCCCCCGGCCCCTGGTAACCACCAATCCTCTTTCTTTCACTGTGCATTTCCCCGTTGTGGACACTGCAGAGAGACTGAATCCCACAGCCGGCTGCGGTGGCTCGAGCCTGTAATCCCAGCACTTTGCGACGCTGAGGCAGGAGTTCGAGACCAGCCTGGCCAACACGGTGAAACCCCGTCTCTACTAAAAACTACAAAAATTACCCAGGCATGGGGCGGGTGCCTGTAATCCCACCTACTCGGGAGGCTAAGGCAGGAGAATCGCTTGAACCCGGGAGGCGGAGGTTGCAGTGAGCTCAGATCGCGCCACTGCACTCCAGCCTGGGAGACAGAGCGAGACTCCATCTCAAAATAAATAAATAAATAAAACAAAGAAAGAAATGGAATCCTGTAACGTATGGTCCTCTTTGACGTCCTCAAAGTTCATCTATGTGGCAGCCTTTTTAGAGTCGCTCCCCTCCTGCCTCCTCCCCCCTCCCCCCTCCCCTTTCCTTTCCTATGCTGCAGCCTTTTTAGAGCCCCTTCCCTCTCCTCCCCTTTCCTTGTTTTTGAGATGGACTCTCGCTCTGTCGCCCAGCCTGGAGTGCCGTGGCGGGATCTCGGCTCCCTGCAACCTCAGCCTCCTGTGTTCAAGCGATTCTCATGCCTCAGCCTCCAAAGTAGCCGGGATTACATTACAGGTGCACACCATCACGCCCAGCTAATTTTTTGTATTTTTTGCAGAGATGGGGTTTCATCGTGTTGGCCACACTGGTCTCGAACAGCTGACCTCAGGTGAGCTGCCCGCTTCGGCCTCCCAAAGCACTAGGATGGATGACAGGCGTGAGTCACCGCAGCTGACCAACTTTGTTCCTTTTCATAGCTGTGTAGTATTCCACCGTGTGTGGATGGTCCATGATGTAATTACTTTTACCCACTCACGGACACTTGGGCCGTTTGGACCTTTTAGCTGCTGTGAAGATTCACGTATAAGTTTTTGGGTGAACACCTGTTTGGGTTTTTTTTGGAGACAGAGTCTTGCTTTGTTGCTGTCAGCTCAATGCAACCTCCGCCTCCCGGTTCAAGAGATTCTTCTGCCTCAGCCTCCTAAGTAGCTGGGATGACAGGTGTGATTATTATCACGCACAGCTGTTTTTTCTTTTTTTGTATTTTTAGTAGAGACAAGGTTTCACTATTTTGGTCTCGAACTTCTGACCTTGTGATCCGCCCACCTCGGCCTCCCAAAGTGCGGGTATTACAGGCGTGAGCTGTCGCTCCTGGCCCTTCCTGTGCCTTCAGGCCTCTCATTTGGTGGTACTTTCCGGATGGAAAGTGATGGTAGTTTCCGGAACTGAGTCCAGCCCTTCCCTCTGCCTCCGAGGTTTATTCTGGGAGTGGCTCATCACCAGCAGGCATTGCCGGCGACCCTCAAAGGACCTGCTGTCTTCACAGGGACCCAGAACAGGCCGAGCCCCCAGGCACGTGAATAGCAAATGGAACGTTAGAGAAGAGACACCCTGAAGGCACTCACCACAATCGTGTCTGCTCCGATGACCATGTCCGGGGCTCGCAGGTCCTTCTGTAAGAAAGCCAGACTTCGAGTTATTTATTTATCCGTCCATCCCCAGGTCCTTCTGTAAGAAAGCGAGACATCTATCTATCTATCTATCTATCTATCTATCTATCTGGGACAGAGTCTTACTCTGTCACCCAGGCTGGAGTGCAGTGGCGTGATCTCGGCTCACTGCAACCTCCGCCTCCTGGTTTCAGGCAATTCTCCTGCCTCAGCCTCCTGAGGAGCTGGGATCACAGGCGTGTACCACCACGCCCAGCTAATTTTTTCTGTTTTTAGTAGAGATGGGCTTTCACCATGTTGGCCACGCTGGTCTCGATCTCTTGACCTCGTGATCCGCCGTCCTCAGCCTCCCAAAGTCCTGGGATCATTACAGGCGTGAGCCGCCTGGCCAGGTGTCTCGCAGAGAGGCTTACCTGACAGTATGACTACGAAACAGCACCACAGGGGCAAAGCCAGGCTGACTTCGGAAGGTGAGGCCGGGAGGCCTCAGGGCCAAGAGCAAGGACACGAGTGGGTCCACCAGGGGTCCCCTGGCAGGCGCTGGAACATGGGTGAGGCTGGAGCCCGCAGGGGCTGTGCAATCAGGGCTGAGAGAGTCACGGAGAATCTCACAGGTGCCACGGAAAACATAAGAGCTGTTCTATAAGCTTTTCTTCTTTGAGGGGGGCAGGTAAGCTTCCACGTGGGGTCGATTTGGGGGCCCCACCTCTCCCTGAGTTACCCTGCATTAAGGCCAAAGGTTTTTGTTGTTGTTTTGAGACAAAGTCTCCCTCTTGTCCCCGAGGCTGGAGTGCAGTGGCACAATCTCGGCTCACTGTGACCTCCGCCTCCCGGGTTCAGGCCATTCTCCTGCCTCAAGCTCCCAAGGAGCAGGAACTACAGGTGCCCACCACCTCGCCCAGCTCATTTTTGTATATTTAGTAGAGATGGGGTTTCATCACATTGGTCAGGCTGGTCTGGAAGCCTGACCTGACGTGATCCACCCGCCTCGGCCTCCCAAAGCCCTGGGATGACAGACCTGAACGCCACACCCGGTCAAGGCCAAAAACTTTTTGATCGGTTCAACGTAATTTCAGAAAAAGGTCCTTAGGGCCGGGCGCGGTGGCTCAGCCCTGGCGGATCACCTGATGTGAGTTCCAGACCAACTGGCCAACATGATGAAATCCTGTCTCTACCAAACCCACACAAAATGAGTCAGGCGCCTGTCATCTCAGCTAGTCGGGAGGCTGAGGCACAAGAAGCTCTTGAACCCAGGAGGTGGAGGTTGCAGTGAGCCGAGACGGCGACAGAGCGAGACAAATCCAGGTTGACCATTCGGCCTCGGAGCTGCATGTGCTCACGGGATATCCGCATGTCACCGTGACCTTAGCTGCCTGAGCACTGGTTCCCCTAAGCTCTGCTCTGCCAAAACCCACAATGGAGATTCTTGTTATTCAGAGCAGTGCTCGCCACAGCATTACCTCCAATGCATTTCCTTCTCTTTTCTTTTTTTTTTTTTGAGATGCAGTCTCGCTCTGTCGCCCAGGCTGGAGTGCAGTGGCGTGATCTCGGCTCACTGCGACCTCCGCCTCCCAGGTTCAAGTGACTCTCCTGCCTCAGCCTCCCGAGTAGCTGGGATGACAGGCGTGTGCCTGCATGCCCCGCTAATTTTTGTATTTTTAGTAGAGACGGAGTTTGACTACGTTGGCCAGGCTGGTCTTGAACTCCTGACCTCGTGATCCACCCACCTCGGCCTCCCAATGTGCTGGGATGACAGGCGTGAGCCACTGTGCCCAGCCTGCTATGGTAATTGTATATATTATAACCGATAGCATAGTGAATGCAGTAGTGCATCACGTAACACATAATAATCGATAAGCCACATTATTTCTATGTCGTAAATGATACCCAAGTTCATTGCAACAGTGTGTTATGATGTTAATTATATGAACTATGTTAATATATTGTAACTGATATTAGTGTTCTTGTTGTTAATTTTTTTTTCCTTTGAGACGGAGTCCGGGCTGGAGTGCAATGGTGCGATCTCAGGTCACCGCAATCTCCGCCTCCCGGGTTCAAGTGATTCTCCTGCCTCAGCCTCCAGAGCTGGGATTACAGGTGCGCCACCACGCCCGACCGATTTTTGTACTTTTAGTAGAGATGGGTTTCACCATGTTGGCCAGGCTGGTCTCGAACTCCTGACCTGGTGATCCGCCCGCCTCGGCCTCCCAAACTGCTGGCATTACAGGTGTGAGCCACCGTGCCTGGCCTGTATTTCTCATATTTTCTGCAACGGTGTACTGTATGGTAACCCACAGCCATGGCTAAGCTACAGTAACTCTCTGCCCTCAAGGACACCGTGAGGTTCATTGTGACAGCGCGTTACGACACAGTGACAGCTATGGTAATTGTACATACTGTGGACGATAATACATTAATTGCAGTTGTCTGTTACACAACATATAGTAATCCATAAGCTACAATAATTCTATATCCTAAATGATACTAATGGCTTCCTTGTCAGTGTGTTAGAACACACAGTAATAGCTATGTTCATATGATATATTGTAACTGATATTATTATTATTTTTTAATTTTTTAGATGGACTCCAAGCTGGAGTGCAATGGCTCAATTTCAGCTCACTGCAATCTCTGCCTCAGGGTTCAAGGTGTTCTTATGCCTCAGTCTCCCGAGTAACTGGGATTACAGGTGCGCCACCACGCCCGACTGATTTTTCTATCTTTAGTAGAGACGGGGTTTCACCATGTTGGCCAGGCTGGTCTTGAACTCCTGACCTCAGGTATCTGCCCACCTCAGTCTCCAAAAGTGCTGGGATTACAGGTGTGAGCCACGGCACTTGGCGGCAAGTGAATATTATAACACGGAGTCATAGATAAGGTCCAGAAATTCTATACCATAAATGATGCTGTTACATCAGTTGCGAGAGAATATTATAACACATAGTCAAACATAAGCTCCATTCATTCTACAACATAAATAATACTGCTGGGCACAGTGGCTCACGCCTGTAATCCTGGCACTTTGGGAGGCCGAGGCAGGCAGATCACGAGGTTAGGAGTTCGAGACCAGCCTGGCCAACATGCTGAAACCCATCTCTACTAAAAGTACAAAAATCGGTCGGGCGTGGTGGCGCACCTGTAATCCCAGTTACTCGGGAGGCTGAGGCAAGAGAATCGCTTGAACGTGGGAGGCGGAGGTTGCAGTCAGCTGAGATCGTGCCATTGCACTCCAGCCTGGGCAACAAAGTGAGACTCCACCTCAAAAAAAAAAAAGATACTATTATGTCAATTGCAAGAGAATATTATAACACATCGCAATAGATAAGCTCCGTTAACTCTACATCACAAATGATGCTATTTTATATCAATTCAAGAGAATATTATAACATATAGTCACATAAGCTTCATCAATTCTATATGATAAATTATGCTATTCTATCAATTGCGAGAGATTCTTATAACACATCGCAATAGATAAGCTCCGTTAATCCTGTACCATAAATGATGCTATTCGTCACTTGTCATAGTACATGACATTTTAACATAGTAACAGCGAGGCTGTGCCACCAATTGCATCTTGTAAATGACATTTATTTGTATCATATATATTTAAGACCTGCAAATCCCCTTGTTATAGCAAAGAAACTTTCTTTTATTGTTTTTTTATTGAGATAGTCTCACTCTGTGGCCCAGGCTAGAGTGCAGAGGCATGATCTCTGCTCTCTGCAATATTCGCCTCCCGGGTTCAAGCAATTCTCCTGCCTCAGCCTCCTGACTACCTCGGATTACAGGTGCACCCGCTACCACACCTGGCTAAGTTTTGTATTTTTAGTAGAGACAGGGTTTCACCATGTTGGCCAGGCTGGTCTCGAACTCCTGACCCTGTCATCCACCCCATCAGCCTCCCAAAGTGCTGGGACTACAGGCGTGCACCACCAAACCTGGCTAATTTTTGTATTTGTAGTGGACACGGGGTTTCACCATCTTGGCCCAGCTGGTCTTGAACTCTAACCTTGCGATGCACCTGCCTCGGCCTCCCAAAGTGCTGGGATTACAGGCCTCAGCCTGCGCGCCCAGCCTATCAATGGAATGGTCATGAGGGCGAAAGGAAGGGCCCCCTTGCCTGGTACATGCGGTTGGCCACTTCCAGAGCCTTCTGCTTGGCGGTCTCCATGGCGTACCCATACGGCGTGGCGAAGGAGGCTTTGTCCAGCTTCTCTTTGAACCTGGAGGGGACCACCTCAAACCGGAGACCCTGCAACAGAAGAAAGGGGTCAGGAGGGTTGACGACAGACCCCGAGAAGACGGAACGTAACGCGCAAGATGAGCAGGACGCGTGGCGTTGGCTACACTCCCCGGTCCTCTCCTGGGTGACCTCATCCATCTGCTGAGCTTTCCCTAAGTGTGGCTAGGGGGCCTTCGGGGGTCCGGCCAGGGGACTTTAGGGACTGACAAGGGGTCTTTCTGGCTCTCGAGGGAAAAGGCTGGCAAAGGAAAAAGCCAGAACAGAGAGGCTGGCAGGGAATGCCGACTCGGGCCATGAACCCACAAGCCAGCCTCGTCAGAGGGTTCCTGGAGCCCGGAAGTTTGGGACAGACAAGAACATCCATCCATAGAGAATTCCGGAAAAATGCCAGCAATGGCGGCTGCATGAGGGGCATGAAAGCTGGCTCTAAGTCAATCCCAGACCACACCATCTGCTGGGAGACCTGGCCTGGAGGCAGTGACCCCCGCAGAGGCTGTGGAGTCAGGAATGATGGTGGTCACTGCCCCCAGTGTGGGTGGCCATGGCTGCCACACCTGCCAAGACCCAGGGAACTCCACATCTCGCCTCTGACTGAGCAGGAGCATGGCCATCTTGGACACACGCCTCCATCTTGGACACATAGCGCCATGTTGGACACACGCCGCCATCTTGGACACACACAGCCATGTAGGACACACACAGCCATGTAGGACACACGCCAACATGTTGGACACACACAGCCATGTAGGACACATGCCAACATGTTGGACACATGCCTCCATCTTGGACACACACAGCCATGTAGGACACATGCCAACATGTTGGACACATGCCGCCATCTTGGACACACAGCGCCATGTTGGACACACGCTGACATGTTGGACACATGCCGCCATCTTGGACACACAGCGCCATGTTGGACACACGCTGACATGTTGGACACATGCCGCCATCTTGGACACACGCCTCCATCTTGGACATACAGTGCCATGTTGGACACACGCTGACATGTTGGACACATGCCGCCATCTTGGACACACGCCACCATGTTGGACACACGCCGCCATCTTGGACACACGCCTCCATCTTGGACACACAGCCCCATCTTGGACACATGCCACATTCTTGAACACACAGCACCATCTTGGATACATACACTGCTGTCTTGAATACACTCAGTGCCATCTTGGACACACGCTACCATCTTGGCCAGACAGTGCCATCTTGGACACACAGCACTATTTTGCACACAGAGTACCATCTTGGATATACACACTGCCATCTTGGACACACACTGTGTTGGACACACTGCACCATCTTGGACGCAATCCACCAACTGGGACACACGGCACCATCTTGGACACATGGCGCCATCTTGGACACAGACTGCCATTTGAAGTTCCCTTGATTAAAAACCACCTAAATCCAGCAGAAAAACATCAGCCTAATGGCTGATATCAGCATGATCAGAAAGATTCCAGCTCTGGAATAAACGCCCTGCGACCAGAAACACGCCAACCCCAAGATAACCTCCCTTCCAACCAGAGACACGTCAACCCCGCGATAAACTTTCCCTCACACAGAGACATTCCGAGCCTGCAATATGCTCCCCCTTCCTAAACCCTTAAGCGCCCTGAGTCTGTAGGAGAGAACGCTCCTGACCTAACTCTACCGGAAGCCCCGCTCAGGTTTATCCTCCAAAATAAACCTGTCGTTCACAGTTGAGCCACTTTTCTTGTTTCCTTCCTCTTTCTTTAACTTACATTTGGTGCCAAAACCTGGGATGGGTGTTGGGGGCAGAGGCTCTCTTGCAACCCAGAAGCAGTGGGTAGCAGCAGACTTAGGTAGAAGAAATCTTGGGGATGCCGAGTTTCTTCTTAGGTTGACCATCCTCTTTTAATTTTTTTTTTTCTTTTTGAGATGGAGTTTCATTCTGTGGCCAGGCTGGAGTACAGTGGCACGATCTCGGTTCACTGTAACCTCCACCTCCCAGGTTCAAGCGATTCTCCTGCCTCAGCTTCCTGAGTAGCTGGAATTACTGGTGCCCGCCACCATATCTGGCTAATATTTTCAGATTTTTAGTAAAGACGGGGTTTCACCACGTTGGCCAGGCTAGATTCGAACTCCTGACCTCGTGATCCACCTGCCTTGGCCTCCCAAAGTGCTGAGATTACAGGTTTGAGCCACCGCGCCCGGCCCCATCCTTTTTCTTAATGAAAACGGTCCACAGGTCTCTCCTTCCTTGGAAACCTCTTCCTCCCAAACCCCTTTTGATCCTGCAGATAAACTCTCTGTACTCTCAAACCCTGCATCCGTTCCTCACCCATCCTCACTCTCCGTCCCTCCTGCCCGCAAGCCTTTAGCCCCAAGCCTGGCCTCTCCCGTTTTCCATCCTAAAATGGTTCAAGCAGTCCAAGCTAGGCTGCCCTTCTCCCGATCTGGGAGGTGCCTCGGGCTGAAGGCAATGCTTGCTTCCTGCACTTCTCCAGGTCTGATTTATCACAGATCGAACAGCTCCTGAGATGGTCCTCTGAAAGTCCCTCTCATTATCACATGTAATTCCTGTACATAACCCAATCATTTAATGTAACTTGGCACAACATGTATGTCATTCTAACCTCCACCCTCAGCCATGCTTTAAAAAACAAACAAAAGAGCTCAGCTTCATTAAAATAGATATCCAAGCTGTAAATATACTCAAAAGGCCTTTATGGTTTTCTGTTCCTAAATATTTTTTTTGGCAGGACACGGTGGCTCAGGTTTGTAATCCCAGGACTTTGGGAGGCCGAGATGGGTGGATCACGAGGTCAGGAGTTCCCGAGCAGCCTGACCGATATGGTGAAACCTTGATCCTACCAAAATTACAAAAATGAGCAGGGCGTGCTGGCATGCGCCTGTAGTCCCAGCTACTCGGGACGCTGACACAGGAGAATTGCTGGAACCTGGAACCCGGGAGGCGGAGGTTGCGGTGAGCCGAGATTGCACCACTGCGCTCCAGCCTGAGTGACAACGTGACGCGTCATCTAATAAATAAATAAAGGAAAAATAAATCTTGTTTTCCTGGAAAGGTTTTTTGCTCATTCGACTTGATTTCTTTTCTCCACTCTGTCCTGTCTCCCATGCTGCATGTATAAGAGACCCTAAGACAAGTTCTGGTGGCCTGGGACTCCTTGAGAAAACAGAAAAGGCACCACAAATCCCATTTGGGGAAAAATCTGTTTTCCTTATGGAACCCCTGGAATTAAAAATGAATAGGAGGCCGTGCGCGGTGGCTCACGCCTGTAATCCCAGCACTTTCGGAGGCCGAGGTGGGTGAATCACCGGAGGTCAGGAGATCAAGACCAGCCTGGGTAACGTGGTGATACCCCATCTGTACTAAAAAGACAAAAATTAGCTGGGTGTGGTAGTGGGTGCCTGTAGTCCCAGCTACTCGGGAGGCTGGGGCAGGAGAATCCCTTGAACCCGGGAGGCGGAGGCTGCAGTGAGCCGAGGTCACGCCACTGCACTCCGGCCTGGTGACAGAGCAAAACTCCGTCTCTACAAAAAAAAAAAGAAAAAAGAAATCTTATAATTAGTGAATCTTCTTCTGATTTCCTATGTGACTATCTGTGCCGTATGTGTGCCATGTCTATTAAAAGAGCTCCATGTAACTGGCCTATAAAAAAATAAGCACTTAAGACAAATACTTTTTTTTGAGACGGAGTCTTGCTCTGTCACCCAGGCTGGAGTGCAGTGGCGTGATCCCAGATCACTGCAACCTCCAGGGTTCAAGCGATTCTCCTGCCTCAGCCTCCTGAGCAGCTGGGACTATAGGTGCGTGCCACCACACCTGGCTAATTTTTGTGTTTTTCGTAGAGACGGAGTTTCACTATGTCGGCCAGGCTGGTCTCAAACTCCTGACCTCGTGATCCTTCTGACTCGGCCTCCCGCAGTGCTGGGATTACAGGCATGAGCCACCTTGCCCGGCCTTAAGTCAAATATTTTTGGGGAAAAAGCAAAAGCTCTGAGATCAGTCAGTTCATGTAACTTGAATGTTTAAAAATTATGGGTACAGCAGCATTAAAAGTGCCTTAAAGGCTGCCGGCCTACATATTTCTGTGTGTTTATCAATCAAATGGTTTCTTACTTACCTCTGCCAAATACTACAAGGTGTCACAACTTGGCATAAAGGCTACACAAGTATAACTCAGCCCAAACAGAATCATCTTTGCTTGTGCATTTTTTTAGTAAATAAAACACCGATACTGGACCTTGAACTACTTAGGAGAACACCTTAACTTCTGATCTTGTGGCCTCAGGCAGTTCAGCCCAGAGATGTGAAGGAAGCTGGTTCTGGGAAAGGGCTGTTAGCGTCTCTGCCTCAAAGCTAAACATAAACTAAGTCAATAAATAAAACTAGGTCAGGCCTGCAGACATTTGAACTGAGCCATCCAACTTAGTAAGTTTGGAATTTTTTTTTTTTTTTTTTTTGAGATGGAGTCTCGCTCTGTCGCCCAGACTGGAATGCAGTGGTGTGATCTCGGCTCACTGCAACCTCCGCCTCCCGGGTTCAAGCGATTCTCCTGCCTCAGCCTCCCAAGGAGCTGGGAATACAGGTGCCCGCCACCACACTCAGCTAATTTTTGTGTTTTTAGTAGAGATGGGGTTTCGCTGTTGGACAAGCTGGTCTTGAATTCCTGAACTCAGGAGATCCACCTGCCTCCACCTCCCAAAATGCTGGGATGGGGAGCCCCAGTGCCCGGCCTGATCCTGCTTAAAAGGTGCTTTTATAATCAGCTGCAAAGCTCTAACAGATGCTCGTGAATGCAGGTTTCTGACAACTTTGGAGATTGTCACATCAGAATAGAAAGGAAAGAAGTTTGGGATTTTTGAAAAGCCAGAATATTCATTAATATCAAGTAGGACGGAAATGAACGGAATGGACTCAACCAATAGGAGACTGGGGTGATCTTTTTCACATTTTAATTCTTCTTAATTTATGGCAATAAAGTTATTTGCGTAAGTGCAGTAACAATCTGCTTTCTGGCCAGGCTGGGTGGCTCACGCCTGTGATCTCAGCACTTTGGGAGGCCCAGGCGGGTGGACTGCCTGAGGTCAGCTGTTCGAGACCAGCCTGGCCGAGATGTTGAAACCCCGTCTCTACCAAAAATACAAGAACTAAGCTGGTCATGGTGGCGTGTGTCTGTAATCCCAGCTACTCGGGAGGCAGGAGAATCACTTGAACCTGGGAGGTAGAGGTTGCACTGAGCCAAGATGATGACATTTCACTCCAGCCTGGACAGAAATGTGACACTCCGTCTCAAAAAGAAAAACAAAAAAAAAATCTGTTTTCTTTAGTAAGAGGACACAACGGGAAAAACTGGTTATTTTGTGAAGGCTTTGGCTGGAATGGTGTGCACCCCTCTACAAAATCAAACTTGAGGCCGGGCCCAGTGGCTCACGCCTGTAATCCCAGCACTTTGGGAGGCCGAGGCGGGCTGATCACGAGGTCAAGAGATCGAGACCATCCTGGCCAAAATGGTGAAACCCCGTCTCTACTAAAAATACAAAAAAATTAGCTGGGCCTGGTGGTGCACACCTATAGTCCCAGCTACTGGGGAGGGTGAGGCAGGAGAATCGCTTGAACCCGGGATGCGGAGGTTGCAGTGAGCTGACTGTGCCACTGTGCTCCAGCCTGGGCGACAGAGCAAGACTCCGTCTCCCAAAAAAAAAAAAAAAAAAAAATCCCACTTGACTTATGGAGCCAATAAAACCGTTGGAAACTGGCCTCATCTTCTGTGTACACAGTCACCGTACAAAGTCCCTAATCCGCGCTAAGACTGTCCCTTTCTCACAGGCCAGGAACCCCAAATTACCTTGAAACCTCAAGAGGAAAGGAATTCGCCCAACTCATAGGTATTTAATGGTGCAAACCCATGGTGGGCTCAGCTTTAAAGAGGTCCTATCTGGGGCCAGGGGTGGTGGCTGACGCCTGTAATCCCAGCACTCTGGGAGGCGGAGGTGGGTGGATCACGAGGTCAGGAGTTCAAGACCAGCCTGGCCAAGATGTTGAAACCCCGTCTCTACTAAAAATACAAAACTTGGCTGGGTGCAGTAGCAAGCACCTGTAATCCCAGCTACTCGGGAGGCTGAGGCAGAGAATCACTTGAACCCGGGCGGGGGGGGGGGCGGAGATTGCAGTGAGCTGAGATTGTGCCAGGGCACTCCAGCCTGGGTGACAGAGTGAGACTCCGTCTCAAATAAAAAAAGGTCCTTCCTTAGATTCCTTGTGCGGAACAAAGTTCCATCAAAGCCAATTTAAAGGGCCTATGTAAAAATGAATTTATTCTTGGCCGGGTGTGGTGGCTCAGACCTGTAATCCCAGCACTTTGGGAGGCCGAGGCAGAAGAAGCAGACACCCACTGCCTAGGCACCTACCACCCACAATCAAATCTCCCCCACCCAGGGTTCTAGAAAACACATCCCACAGGCCACCTGCAAAGCCAACCTTCAGCCACTTGGAACCACTCCATCCATAGAAGACTTAGGTCCCTCTTGTTTCCCACATCCCTAGGAGTCCTGGGTCATTCTGCCCCCTCCCCTCATTCCTAGGGGTCCTGGGTCACTCCCCTGCCCCAACCCTATGGGTCCTGGGTCACTCTCACCCCCCATCCCTAAGGGTTCCGTCAGTTTCTCCTCACCCACCCCTACAGGTCCAGGGTCACTCTCCCCTCCCTCATCCCTAGGGGTCCCTGGTCTCTCTCCTCCCCCATCCCTAAGGGTCCCTGGTCACTCTCACCTCCTATCCCTAGGGGTCCCTGGTCAGTCTCCCCTCCCCCATCTGTAAGGATCCCGGGTCACTCTCCTCCCTAATCTCTAGGGCTACAGGGTCACTCTCCCCTCCCCATCCCTAGGCGTCCCAGATCACTCTCCCTTCCCCATCCCTAGGGGTCCCAGGTCACTCTCCCTTTCCCATCCCTAGGGGTCCCGGGTCACTCTCCCCTCCCCCATCCCTAGGGGTCCCTGGTCACTCTCCCCCCCCCCCCCCGCCATCCCTGGGGTTCCCGGGTCACTCTCCCCTCCCCCATCCCTGGGGTTCCCGGGTCACTCTCCCCTCCCCCATCCCTAGGGTTCCCGGGTCTCTCTACTACCCATCCCTGGGGGTCCCAGGTCACTCTCCCCTCCTCCATATCTAGGGGTCCCGGGTCACTCTCCAGCTCACCATCCTTGGGGGTCCCGGGTCGCTCTCCCCTTCCCCATCCCTGGGGGTCCCGGTCACTCTCCCCTCCTCCATCCTTGGGGGTCCCGGGTCACTCTCCCCTCCCCCATCCCTAGGGGTCCTGAGTCGCTGGGCCCAGCTGGTTCGGCCCCTCCGTCCCGGGTCCCCCGCCCAGCCCAGGCCCAGGTCGCACCGCGTTGCTGAGGATCTCCTGGCGGCGTGGAGAGGCGCTGGCCAGCACCACGCGTTTGTGCAGCAGCTTCCCGATAACCGGGAACAGCACCATGGCGTCCACGCCGGGAGCCGGGAGGCCGCAGACTTGAGCCCGAAGCCAGCTGCGTGAGCAGCGCGGCTCCGGAAATACCGCGGCCGGAGTTCCGCCTCCGCGAGGCCACGCCCAGACCACGCCTCCATCGACCTCCCGCAAGGTCACGCCCAAACCACTACGCCAGCGACCCCGCCTCTAGGCCACGCCCAGAGCACGCCTCCATCGACCTCCCGCGATGTCTCGCCCAAGCCACGCCTCCATTGACCTCCCGCGAGGCCACGCCCAGGCCACGCCTCCATGGCAATAGAAAGTGTGTGCTGCACGGGGTAGGAACAGGGAGTGTGTCCCGCTAAAAGGAGACACAGGAAGTATGTCTCACACAGGGTAGGAACAAAAATTGTGTCCTGCATAGAGGATAAACGGGAGATGTGTCCTGTACAGGGGAGACAAGAAGTGTGTTCTGCACAGAAAAGAAACAGGAAGTGTGTCCTGCACAGATGGGAAATAGAAAGTGTGTGCTGCATAGGAGAGGCACACAAAGTGTGTCATTAACAGAGCTGAAAGAAGAGGAGTGTCCTTCACAGAACAAAAGCAGAAACTGTGTCTTGCACAAGGAAGGAATAGAAAATATGTCTGTTTTGCACAGGGTAGGAATATGTCTGTCTTAGGAGAGTGACAGGAAGTGTGTCTAGCACAGGAGAAACAGAAGAAGTGTGTCCTGCACAGAGAAAGAAAAGGAAGTAGGTCTGACTCTGGACAGCAACAGGAAGCGTGTCCTGCACAGGAGAAACAAGGAAGTGAGTCCTGCACAGAGAAAAAACAGGAACTACATCTGTCAGGAGAGCAACAGGAAGCGTGTCCTGCACAAGAAAAACACAGGAAGTGTGTCATGCACAGGGGAAGAACAGAAAGGACGTCAGTCTCAGGGAAGCAACAGGAAGTGAGTCCTGCACAGAGGAAAAAGAGAAAGTACATCTGTCTCAGGAGGGCAACAGGAAGTGTGTCCTGCACAGGAGAAACAAAGAAAGTGTTTCCTGCGCAGAGGAAGAACAGGAGGTACATCGGTCTCAGGAGAGCAAAAGGAACTGTGTCCTGCACGGGAGAAAGACAGGAAGTGTGTCCTGCGCAGAGGAAAAACAGAAAGTATGTCTGTCTCAGGAGAAACACAGGAAGTGTGTCCTGCACAAAGGAAAAACAGGAAGTACGTCTGTCTCAGGAGAGCAACAGAAAGTGTGTCCTGCACAGGAAAAACACAGGAAGTGTGTCCTTCAAACAGGAAGAACATGAAGTAGGTCCATCTCAAGAGAGCAACAGGAAGTGTGTGCTGCCCAGGAGAAACACAGGAAGTGTGTCCTGCATAAAGGAAGAAAAGGAAGTACATTAGTCTCGGGCGAGTGACAGGAAGTGTGTCCTGCGCAGAGGAAAAACAGGAAGTACGTCTGTCTCTGGAGAGCAACAGGAAGTGTGTCCTGTACAGAGGAAGAACATGAAGTGTGTATGGGCCTGGCATGGAGCCTCACGCCTGTAATCTGAACACTTTGGGAGTCTAAATCAGGCAGATCATGGGCTTTGGAGTTCGAGACTAGCCTAACCAAATGGTGAAACACCATCTCGACTAAAATAGAAAAATTAGTTATGCTTGGTGGTACACGCCTGTAATCCCAGCTAATCAGGAGGCTGATGTAGGAGAATCTCTTGAATACAGAAAGTGGAGCTTCCAGTGAGCCAAGATTGTACCACTGTACTCCAGCCTGAGTGACAGAGAAACCTAAAAACAACAACCAAAATAAAAAGAAGTGTGTCTGTCTCAGAACAGTTACAAGAAGTCTGTCCCACACAGGACAGGAACAGAAAGTGTGTGCTTCACAGAGTATGCACAGAAAGTGTGTCCTTCACAGGGGAGGAACAGGAAGCGTGTCCTTCACAGGGGAGGAACAGGAAGTGTACCCTGCACAGGCAAGAAACAGGAAGTGTGTCATGCACAGGAGAGACACAAAAAGTGTCTCATTCACAGGGGAAGAACAGGAAGTTTGTCTTTCTCAGGAGAGTAGCAAGAAGTGGTCTTGCACAGGACAGATACAGAAACCATGTGCTGCACAGGGTAGGAATATGACGTGTGTCCTTCACAGGGGAGAAACATTAAGTCTGTCTTGCACTGGCAAGAAACAGGAAGTATGTCATGCACAGGGAAGAACAGGAAGTGTGTCTGTCTCAGGAGAGTAACAAGAAGTATGTTCAGCACAGGGGAGACACGGGAAGTGTGTCATGCACAGAGAAAGAACAGGAAGTTTGTCTGTCTCAGGAGAGTAACAAGAAGTGTGACTTGCACAAGACAGAAACAGAAAGTGTGTGCTGGGCAGGATAAGAACAGGAAGTGTGTCCTGAACAAGGCAGGAACGATAATTGTGTCTCTCTCAGGAGAGTAACAGGAAACATGTCCTTCACAGGTAAGACACAGGAAATGTGTCCTGCACCAGGGCGAAACAGGAAGTGTGTCTGTTTCAGGAGAGTAACAAGAAGTCTGAACTGCAGAGGGAAAGAACAGAAAGTGTATACCCCTCAGAGGAGGAACAGATAGTGTGTGACACAAGGGGAGACACAGGGAGTGTGTCTTCCGCAGGGAAGGAACAGGAAGTATGTCTCTCAGGAGAATAACAGGAAGTGTGCTATGCACAGGGGGGACACCAGTAGTGTGTCCTGCAATAGGTAGACATAGGATATGTTTCCTGCACGGGGAGGGTCAGGAAGTGTGTCCTGCACAAAGGATAAACAGAAAGTGTGTCCTTCACAGGGGAGAAATAGGAAGTGTGTCCTGCACAGGAGAGACACAAGAAGTGTTTCTAAGGAGAGTAACAGGAAGTGTGTCCTGCACAGAGAAGAAACAGGAAGTGTGTCCTTCACAGAAGAGAAATAAAAATGAGTTCTACACAGAGGAGGAACAGGAAGTGTATCTCTCTTAGGAGAATGACAGGAAGTGTGTCCGTCACAGGGGAGACACAGGAAGTGTATCTCTCTTAGGAGAATGACAGGAAGTGTGTCCGTCACAGGGGAGACACAGGAAGTGTGTTCTGCACTGGGGAGGAACAGAAAGTTTTACATGGAAGAAACAGGAAGTGTCCCATGTTGGTCTCCAACTTGTGGACTCAAGGGATCCTCCTACCCCAGCCTCCCAAAGTGCAGGAATTACAGGTGTAAGCCACTGTGCCTGGCCCTCAGATCATTTCTTTTTTTTTTTTTTCTTTTTTTTTTTTCTTTTTATTTTTTTAATTTTTTATTGGATTATAGGTTTTGGGGTACATGAGCAGAGCATGCAAGACAGTTGTGTAGGTACACACATGGCAGTGTGCTTTGCTTTTCTTCTCCCCTTCACCCACATTTGGCATTTCTCCCCAGGCTATCCCTCCCCACCTCCCCCTCCCACTGACCCTCCCCTTTTCCCCCCAATAGACCCCAGTGTTTAGTACTCCCCTCCCTGTGTCCATGTGTTCTCATTTTTCATCACCCACCTATGAGTGAGAATATGCGGTGTTTCATTTTCTGTTCTTGTGTCAGTTTGCTGAGGATGATGTTTTCCAGATTCATCCATGTCCCTACAAACGACACGAACTCATCATTTCTGATTGCTGCATAATATTCCATGGTGTATATGTGCCACATTTTTCCAATCCAGTCTATTATCAATGGGCATTTGGGTTGATTCCAGGTCTTTGCTATTGTAAACAGTGCTGCAATGAACATTCGTGTACATGTGTCCTTATAGTAGAACGATTTATAGTCTTTTGGATATATACCCAGTAATGGGATTGCTGGGTCAAATGGAATTTCTATTTCTAAGGCCTTGAGGAATCGCCACACTGTCTTCCACAATGGTTGAACTAATTTACACTCCCACCAACAGTGTAAAAGTGTTCCTTTTTCTCCACATCCTCTCCAGCATCTGTTGTCTCCAGATTTTTTAATGATTGCCATTCTAACTGGCGTGAGATGGTATCTCAATGTGGTTTTGATTTGCAACTCTCTGATGACCAGTGACGATGAGCATTTTTTCATATGATTGTTGGCCTCATATATGTCTTCTTTCGTAAAGTATCTGTTCATATCCTTTGCCCACTTTTGAATGGGCTTGTTTGTTTTTTTCCTGTAAATCTGCTTGAGTTGTTTGTAAATTCTGGATATCAGCCCTTTGTCAGATGGGTAGACTGCGAAAATTTTTTCCCATTCTGTTGGTTGCCGATCCACTCTAGTGACTGTTTCTTTTGTCGTGCAGAAGCTGTGGAGTTTCATTAGGTCCCATTTGTCTATTTTGGCTTTTGTTGCCAATGCTTTTGGTGTTTTGTTCATAAAGTCCTTGCCTACTCCTATGTCCTGGATAGTTTTGCCTAGATTTCCTTCTAGGGTTTTGATGGTGCCAGGTCTTATGTTTAAGTCTTTAATCCATCTGGAGTTAATTTTAGTGTAAGGTGTCAGGAAGGGGTCCAGTTTCTGCTTTCTGCACATGGCTAGCCAGTTTTCCCAACACCATTTGTTAAACATGGAATCCTTGCCCCATTCCTTGTTTTTGTCAGGTTTATCAAAGATTGTATAGTTGTATGTATGTTGTGTTGCCTCTGGTGCCTCTGTTTTGTTCCATTGGTCTATATCTCTGTTTTGGTACCAGTACCATGCTGTTTTGATTACTGTAGCCCGGTGCTCTACACATTCAGAGAAACTTCTCTAGTAACATACTATAGAAATGATCCCTGAAAGTATAGTCTTAGATCATTTCTTTATGGCCAGTTTTTACAAGGAAAGGCGGGTGGAGGGAATTTGAGTCATATTTTTAGGTTTTATGCCTGGCTTTGGGGAAAAGGTGGTCTTGTTTCTAGGACCCATCTTGGGGAGGAGAGATTCTAGTTTCTATGGTGCCTTGGGGGTGAATGGGACTGACATACTCAAGATGGTGAGTAGAGTGATGTCTGATCGTCCTCCCTGCTACACTCCCACCTGCGCCATGACACTTTGCAAATGCCTTGGCAACATCAGTTAATTACCTACCGTATATGGTCTAAAAAGAGGAGATTGAAATAATCAACCCCTTGTTTAGCATTTGAATAAGAAATAACATAAAAATGGTCAACCA